TAATGATAGTAAAGTAAAGTAATAATATAGTTATTATGTCTAAATCAAATTATTATATCTATTTGTCTTCTAAACTTTCAGACTGGTATGAGATGTTGCGATTGTGGTTATAGTTGTCACGAAAAATGTTCAGAAAATGTACCTAAAAGCTGTACTAAATATAAGGCTGTTGCAGACCGAACGTTAACTAATCAAAATGCTAACAGAACATGTGGTGAAACAACTTCAGTGAATTCAAGTGAGTCATATTTCAATCTTATTAATTTATCTTATGAATTATTAAGTCATTATTCAACCGATGTAATGTTGTAGATATGAATGGTATTCATCAGCAATATTATGAACAATTCTCATCCAATGTTGCCGAGAACAGGACTCATGAAGGTTACTTATACAAACGTGGAGCTCTTTTGAAAGCATGGAAACAACGTTGGTTTGTTTTGGATTCAATAAAACATCAATTGAGGTACTATGATTCTATGGATGATTCACATTGCAAGGGATATATAGGTAAACATACTATAATATCTTATACTTTAAGAACTGTGTTCTTCTTAATAATATTTTAAGTGATAAGATCACAAAAACAACATCCTTTAAACACATCGTATTTTATCAGAATGAAATTAATTTTGATAATTAGGAGATTAAGCTCTAATCAAACCAAAAATTATGCTCTGATAAATATGTGCTCATGCATAAAAAATACTTAAATATTATTTTAAAAATTAAATTTTAACCAAAATTAAATTATTTAARAAAGTTATCATATGATATGTTTAGGAAAAACTTTTTCTCATTATGTTCATGTTCGTTTTATATTAATAAGCCACAAAAATGGTCAAACAAAAATTAAGATAGTTAACAATCTAAAATAAGTATAAGTAAAAATGAATTATTCGATTATATAAAATACATAATATATTGTGATTAAACTACTATAGTATTACATAGACATTTTTTTTTTTTTTTTAACCAGTCAATAAATATTTTCCTAAGTACTTTTTTGCTTAAGTTGTGTTTATGTATTAAAACATTCAATATGACTTTATAATTGTATTCTACTATAAATGTTCATTTTTTAATTCACAAATTAACATGCTCATTCAGCAGAACACGATAGCAATGAATATATATTCAAATACATACTAATTAGTATCAGTTTCTGATATTAAAATTTCATTAGTTATGTTATAATTATTATTTTATGTTTAATTTTATTCATATTTTGTCAGGTTACTTACATAGTTATTAGCAATATATTATTTATTAATAATTAATCTAACTTAGATCTTGCTGAAGTAATGTCTGTGTCTCAAGCCAACCCAACACCTGGCGCACCTAAAAAAACTGATGACAAATCTTTCTTTGATGTATGTAATTTTTATTGTTTTCTTACTAAATGTATTTTATTTAGAAAACAACGTTTTTTTTATTGTATCTATAGCTGCGTACAAACAGAAGAACATACAATTTTTCTGCTAGTGATATGACTACCGCCCAAGAATGGATAGAAAAAGTCCAAGCTTGTTTGCAATAATCAAATGTTTTAAAAAAAAAAAAAGTTTAAAATACATACATTTCTTATCTGTTGTTAAWGTTAATTTATTTATTTTCCATTAAGATATTATTTTCTTTTTTTATGTATTTAATGAAATTTTTTGGTTTTCCAAATCACTGAAGTGAAAATAATATGTATTAGTAGTCTTATCGTTAAATTGAAACAAAATGTGATAGTTTTGTATGTTGTAACTATTTATTTTTCACTTCTTTTTTTTTTGTTTTTATTACTACTACTATTATTATTACTACTTTATGCCTATGTGTTGTAATATTATGATTTATTATTATATTTATATACTAAATAACAGGCTTGAGGGTCTTTCCAAAACAGGCGATAATTTATTAACTTATCAAATATAAAATTAACTGTAAAAGTTTAAAATTGATGTTCAAGATACAAATTAAACCTAGGAAAATAATTTTATATTTGTTACTATATATATATTTCATGACATATTGTCAGTTCTTTGTAGATATAAGTTGTTACGATTATTTTTGTTCATTAGTTATCAGTTGACATTTTTTTTTTTAATTTTGTATTTAATGTTACACAAACTATTATTAATTAAAATATTTGTCGTAAACAGTTTTTACTTTTTTGTATGTTTGTTATAATATTTTTTTGGAAAGCTCTTGAGGGAATATAAACTTAATACATTTTAATTATTACTCGAAAGTTACCAATATTTGACGTATATACATTTTTTTTTWAAATATATTTTTATCTTAGTTTAAAAGCTGTACATTATTTGTTAAAAATATACAATTTTATTTTCAATTTTAATTTGTTTGATCAATTGCTAGAAAAACATTATTCTGTTGGTTTATTGAATAAAAATATCAAAACTATTCAAATTTGTCCATAAATCACTGCTCTTTCATGAATAGTTGTAAAAAAATAAAATTGTAATTTTTTAATTTTTTAATAACAATTATCAATTAAATAAAGCTGAAAAATTAGTTCTTTGTATGTAAAAAAAAAAGTGAATAACTAACAGGAAATTGTAGACAAAAGCTCGACATGTCTGTTGTTTTTCTAGGAGCCGCTTTAACTCTGGCGATAAAATTAGACTCAACTGTTAAGTTGATGTAATTAAAAAAGTTAGAGAAGCTCACTCTACAAGTAAGCTAAATTCCCAATTTTTATACATATTTTATAACCTCATATTATGTACAAAGTTATAAAAAATTGGTAATCTTTATATTTTTGTACCATGTTTTTATTGTTGGAAACAATTAATACATTAGATACTAAAATATTGATATTTTTAAAAACTGGCTAGTATAAATAATTTACTTTGAATACTGTTGTAAGATCTTAATACAAATTATTGTAAATAGGCACASTAACTAGTCTACGGACTATAAATAAATAAATAAAATATATACATATATTCATTCATAACAATGTACTGATGACGTAAGTAACGGACGGGTGGAAGGATAAAATGGGGATATAAGGTGTTATAAACACAAGTTAAAAAACCTAAAACCGTTTTTGTTTTATAATATTCTTGGTCTTTCGTAAAATGAAAATCATGTATTAATAATCATAAACAGATACTTATTTTGGGTAGACTGATATAAATATAAATTTTTCTAACTTTCTAACAAAGCGTGTCATCAATCATATKGTTAACTTATTATGATATATAATTAAAATAAATGTATTAAATAATGAAATACATTTTAATTGAATATGATATATTTATTGAATCAAATACACTTATTATGATCCATCAATTTTCAAAGTATTTGGATTGTTTTGGATTCCTGTTCCATCAAAAGAAGAAAGAACGAAGTTAACAGGCATTACTGTTGACATCAATGGTATTCCTTATGACTACTATAAAATATTGTCAGTAGCCAGAACAACGGATTTTGAATTAAAYTAATATAACACAAAATTTGACACAACACAATTACTGAACAAGATAGATTATGCTATCTCCAAGCAGTTGACTTTTTGACGGACTGTCACCGTATTTTATGATTTTCTTTTCTGTATCGATAAAAAACAACGTTTTTGGGGTCATCATGACGCTATTCTCTGTTRGTTGTATGTGATTGGGAATCAACCTCGGKCCTAAATTTGGATCTTTGTACCTCCATAGAGTTATTTTGTTAGATGCTGGTCAACCGAAAAAARTTGTTGGCACAAATTAACAAGTAATAATTCAATTATGATATAATATTATGCAATCAAACTCAATCTAATAGATCAGAGAGTACCCAAAAAATAAATTCAGCAGGTGCAACATGCAATATATAACATTTARTTATTAATACCTGTTCTCATTATCACAATTTTTTTCAAAATGTGCATTAAGTTAAGGCAGAAAAAGAGAAAATATTGTATCCTACTCGTAAATAAAAATTATAAAAAAATACAGTTTTTTTTCATTTAAATCAATATGTTTTTTTAAACTATTTATTATTATACAAACAATGAGCTCCTTCCCTCTTTGGATGGTAAGTTTTTATGACATTTGATTGTTCTATCATACTCAGTATAAGAAACATACCTACTAATAATGAAAATTCAAAATTTCAAAATAGAAGTTTTTTTAACACCATTSAATGTTACTACAATAACAAAAAAACTATTTTATATTACAGTTTCTTAGTACCACAATAAAAATGAGAATCTTTTTCTAACCGTAAAATGGGTATGGTAAAACTGCATTTAAGACATCGACAACAATAAATATCTATAAATACTTATCTGAAAGTTCTCCATTTAGTACTAAAGTTGAGAGAAAAGGAATGATAAATGTTTAGTTTTATACTCAGAGTTTAAAACTTAATATTAYGATATTGTGTGTTACACCTGAGTGCACCCGCATTGGCAACTGTTTTAGGAATAGGCATCGACAATTGCATAATATTATTATATTATTGTAAATTGGTGTGCACAGAGATTTTTTTTATTTATTCCGTAAACACGACTGGACTTAAGACATTTCTCTGCCATTAATCATTTGAAAAAATATATAAAAATTACAACTGGTCAAGGTTAAATGGAGTATAATTATGATAAACTATTAAAGCTGGGATTTCAATGTACTTTGCATTTTTTCAGAATCTAGCAATGGGATGCTCATTTTATACCATATACTCTTTTCATGTTTTAGTGAAATAGAATAAGAAGTTTTCATTTTGAATTTTTTGTCGATTTTATTTTAAGGTAATTTTTTAATTTTTTAGATCCAAAATTTGAATTTGAAACTTACATGATTTTTATATAAATTTAATAAACTATAAATATATAAATAATAATTTATGGGAATAATTTTTTTCCAAATTAAAGATATTTAAAACAATTGGTCCCATTTGTAAAATTTTTTCATAATCGTTTTAAATGAATTATGTCATATAAACCATATTTAAATAAAAAAAATAAATACTTTGTTAGTAGGTAGTAATGTTTAGGGTATGATAGCATATTGTTTAAGGTACTACAAACCCAGCCTTGATAATTATATTTTATAAATTATTTTATGATATCCTCCCCACCATTCCAAATTCCTGTGCACACCATTGGTATAATAATAAAAATATTGTGCACTTACTCAGTTTTAGATCAATTTTTTTCAGCCTTTTGATCAACTTTTCAACTGTGTCACTGTTGTAAACAGCAAGTTCTCGTTGGAAAAATGGCTTTTGCGGCTGTGGATTAACAACGAGCAGACTTAAGGATKCATCCGGTGGCAAGAACGTTATGTATGGTTCTCCAGGACAACATTCATTACGAATATTTTCTGGTGCTTCGCTGCTGTCRGAATATTTAATGTCAAAATTTTCTAACTGAAATATCAATAAAAGAACCATTGTATTTTGTTGCAAACTGTATATTATTTACAGTTAAATCTACACATATAAATTCCTATACGAAACTTAGCCGGTAAAAATATACATTGTAACAACATTTAAAAAAAATTATATATGTAAGTTTCTACACAGTAAAAAAGTTATGTATGTTAGCACTTCTGTTTATATGTGATTAATATTAATATGTATATTACACAATACACAATACACATGATTGAATAATTTAAATCATTATTTTTATATTATATTATTAGTAAAATTAGTATGTTAAAATTAAGTCAAAAATTATTTTAATGACCTAAATGCCATTAAAATAAATATATTTTACTTATATCCTATAAATTAAATGTAGTCAAATGGGTGCTAATACCTTAGAAAGGATAAAATAATATTTTGTAATTATATGGTTAATTATGAACACMTAAATATTTAATATAATCATATTGATTAATATTAAAATATATTCTTTGTTATTGATTTATTGTAATATCAAACTATAATAGTTATATTTTGAAAGTTCTAAAAAAATTAAATAATTGTTTGTTGTACAATCTAAAATGTTGTCTTTTATATGATTTTCTACTTCAGTTTATTTCAATGTATTTTTACTATTTTTTGTTTTTGTGTTACTATATTTTTGTAAATCAAATTTAATATATGTACCTATTTATTTGAATTTGAAATTACAATAGTTTAAAAAAGTTAGTGTATGATTGGTGTAGCCATGTAGGAACTACATATTATTTTTATAWTCACTAGCACATTTCTTTTATATATATTAATGTATGCAATGTTTACCTCCTACTTTCGTGTAGGGACAACAATTTTTCCCATACAAATTAGTTATCACTAGGGCTCGGATTTTAAAGCAAATGCTTCTATTTATATATTTAAGATAGAAATCTAATTTTTATACATAAATTTGTTTCACGTTAATCTGATTCGAAATAAACAAATTTTTTTTTGCTTTTTTTAGTATAAATGCTTTTTTTGCTTTTTTCAGTTATTCAAGCTGTGGAATTTTTATTTGTTGTTATGCTATGAAAATAAAATAAAAGTGTTTATTTACTTAATAAGAAATGTGAAWACCCGCAATAATGACCGTGACCGTACCATTAGTGCGAAACGTCATTAAATGTAATGATTGAAATGTATAGATTATCGATCTACAGATAGCTTATGGGTCCGATAGCTTATCGAATATTGCATATAGTTTGTAGAACCTACGCTCAGTACTCGTATAACATCGATCTAGACGTGTTTAAAATTTAAGTTTTATAGTGATTTAYAGTGTTGTAATTTATTAAWATGCCAAAAGTCAAAACGAATGCATTTTTAAAACAATTAGTGTTAGAATTTGGTGAAGAAATTTTTCAAACAGATGGATCGATTTTATATTGCTAACTAATTCGTGTTAATTTTTAGTCGTGCTTTTTTTTTGCTTTTTTTAAAAATAAATATGCTTCATTTTTGCTTTTTTTAAACAATTTTATGCTTTTTTTGTTATTTATTATGCTTTAAAATCCGAGCCCTAGTTATCACAATATTATTAAGTACGATATACTWACATCCAAAGTGTTTTCTAGATAGGATCTGTTCACTTCGAGCACGGATTTTTCATCAAAGTCCAATTTAACATTGAAAGCAGAATCACCAACCTTGATCAGTTTTTCTTTTACCATCTGTGCGAACGGCATTGCTCGCTTCATGTACTTTTTGAGTGATTCTTTTTTACCCAGAGCCGAAGAAATGATTTTATTATCTGGTAAGGTATTGCCATTTTCCTGGGTACATAAAGACATTATATTAAAGTTGTGTGACAAATAAAATACATCTTAGTAATAATATACAATGTGATTTATTCAAATTGAATTTATCAAACAACACTCATTATTTAAAAAAGTATTGACTTTTTTCAAAATATTTTTTTACATAGTTTCAAGTTGTTAAAAACCAACGCTTTTATTAAAAAATTATATTTATTATCCTWATCATTTTATAAGTTTTTTACTTTTTAGAATTGCAACATAGCTTTTTAATTTCATATTCCAAAGCAGAATATTTTTCTAAAAATTTTGATACATAAAAATCGAATTTAGGACGAGTAGTTTATGAGTTATAAGTATTTTAAGTTTAAACAAGCGGAGTAGTGGACAAACATTTTGCAGGGTAACCCCGTACCACTCCACTCTTCCAATCTAAACTTTAATATTGAGTTATAGGTATACTCATAAACTACTAGCGCTAAATTCGAAATTTTAACATAATAATTAATAAAAAAAATAGCTTTATTAATTTATGAAATTTTAAGTATAGGTTACCATTTGAAAATCAAAAGTCGATAGTGGTTTATCTAATAAATATAAGGGTGAAAAATATAAAAAAAATAAACAATTCAAGAAGAGTGTAAATCTACAATTTTGAAAAAAAAAATTTGAAAAAAGTCAATACTTTTTTAAATAATGAGTGTTGTTTGATAAAAGAATCACCCTGTATATACAATTGAAATAATCAATGAATGTTTGATTTTTAAATTTCAGCTTAACAAGCCATGGAATGTGGAAAGCTTGGAATATAATATCTAATTGGTAAAGAGATTTATAGTATTGCTATTAGCAATGAAAATAACACTTTACAGAACTGCCAAAGAAAACTAGTTTTCAACGGCTTCTAAAATTGTGTTAAATTACATTTCAAAGGAAGTTCTTTATATGTTTAGATCTATAATTATAATTTTGAATTAAATTTAGTCTCAAATTTTCAACTAGATATTATGTTTTTAACTACTGGGGTATTTAGCCAAATACTKTATATAATCAATTAATAACTAATAGCTGTAGTACTTATAGTTATTTAGTCTTTACCTATTCAGTTTATTAATTTAGGCATTATGATACTATAAAAACATGTTTTATACGGCATAATTAAGTAGACACTACACCCTCATGTGTTGTATGCGTCTTACAAGTAAGTAACATGGCAAATTTTATTTTCAGCAGAYCACGTTTAGYTTTGTTAATTTAAAATGTAGAGTGATTTGGTCTCCTATCAAAATTAAAGGTAACATTATAATAAAAAGCTTATGAAAAGCCTTAGATAATAATGTTACCTTTTATTTTTATTTTGTGCCATTACATACATTCAGCCATATACATTAAATTAAAAGATGTTTTTAAAAATAAAAAATAATTTCTTATGAAACTTWCTGAAAAAAAAGTAAAAACGTTCCCAATTTGTATATTTCAACTTTAAATTTTATTTAAAAGCTCTTAAAATTTGGAAATTTGAAATATTTATCAGTTGAAATTAAATTAAATTAATTAAAAATTAGCTGGAAAAATTAATGAAGAATTTAAATCTGTTTCCAGAATTCCTATCTAATTGATAGACCATTCTATATGACAAACAAAAAGCTCATGATTTGAAAAAAACTTTATCTAGTTCAACAGTTATATGAGCATGCAGAAGTTATACATCATGATTGTTTTTAACACTAAGAACACATAACTCCAGAAAGTATTGTCTACTGTCTACAATGAATGCCTTAATAATAGACCATTTGTAATTCTCTTAGAAATAAAAATAACAAGACCATATTAAAGGGTTCCTCCCTGGCCTCTCCTACAAATATATTATTTAGACATACGGAGTAAAGCTGTTTCATTGTTTCCAATATGGTTGTTTGCCACGGAGGGAATGTCTTTGCGACCCATGCTACAGCTTTTGTTGGTTTTTCTACCACTTTGGCTTTAGCTTGATTCTTTTTAGCTCCAATATTCAGCATATTTTTTTGTTGCAGTCTAAAAGAATGAGCTGCTTCCATCAAGTATTCGCCACTTTGAAGGAGTTTATAATCAACTTCATCGGCTTGAGGCCAACTTGCCTTGACCACACTATCAGCCTATAAAATTAAAATAAATAATTACAGTTTGTTTATAGAAAAAAAAATTGTAATTTTTCAAATAATTACATTTCCTAATAGCTGGTAAACATGTTCAGAGACGTGTGGACAAATTGGAGCCAACAGAATAGTCTGAACTTTAATGAAATGCAATATCAGATCTTTGTGCATACATTCACCTCCAAGTTCTGGATTGCCACAAAGTTCACGATACCTATCACGAGCGGCTTGTAATTCAAAGAAACCAGTTCTCAAAGCTTCTTTGAATAAAAGTTTTTCATAATATTCGCCAGTTTGTTGAATTTTAAGATTTATTTCGCTGAAAAAAAAAATTGTTTTAGTAAAGGAATAATCTATTTTAAGAATTTTAGTTAAGTTAAATAAATRAAAAGTAGAACTTAAAGTTACCTCATAAATACAGTATCTGTAAACGAATCAGTTGGTCCATTTCTAAGCGTAGCCTYTGAAGCTAGCACTTCTTTAACCCATTCAATAAATGTATAAAGTCTTAAAATACCTAAAAAATAAATAATCTATATTAAATACAAAATAGAAATTAAATATTTACATATTTAAACATTAAAAATTAAATACCTGCGTCAGCCATATTTTCAACAAAATTTGCGTCTTCAATGGCATCTCCAGCATCGGCTAAACAAAATCTCATACCATCTGCACTAAACTTATTAACCGCTTCTTCTAATGTCATAAAATTTCCATCTGATTTAGACATCTAGCATAAATAGAACAATAATAATATTCAAAATTTAATATTTAAAACATAAAAATAATGATATATGTTTAAAAAATAATTTTACCTTTGCTGAGTTTAATAATAAATGTCCATTTGCTCTTATACTCTTTGGCCAAAGATCTGGCCGATTAGCCCAAATGGCGCAATGGTTGTATATAAAAAATGTTAAATGATTCTGAATTAAATCTTTGCCAGAACATCGTAAGTCTACTGGATACCAATATTCAAATTCATTTTTCATAATATCTAAATATTTTTTATTAATTTTACATTGTTTAGGATAATTCTTATTATCCAAAAATATGTAATCCCAAACTTCGGGAGTTAACTCTTCTGGCCTAAAGTGCAAACATAATAGATTGATTATTTCAAAAACAAGTATGAAAATTTAATATTTAAAACAAAAATATTAATTTATTAATTTTTCCTATAATTTATAATTAACATTTAACATTAATCTGAGCATTGTAAAAATACTTGGTGTATTGAAACAATTATATTAATAAACTAAAAAAAAAAAAACATTATTCTGATATTGATTATTTACATTGACTTACTTAATATTATATCTGTTTCCATTTTCTCCTTTGAATGTCCCTTCTTGTAGAAAATGAGCGATTGTATAATATGCCATATAAATAGTAGAATCAGATAGAGACTCAATTAACCAATATTCGTCCCATGGCAATTTTGTTCCTTTTATGTTTAAATATTAATTTGCTTAGAGTGGAATTAAAATATAAAAATGAAAAATAATTTCATTACCTAATCCATAAGTTCTAGAACAAGCATATTCGTGCAACCAGTTTAAACAAGACATAAAATTTTTCTTAACTTCTTCATGGTAAGTATTTATATTCTTTAATGCCAATTCTGCAGCTGCTTTCCACTCTGATTCACCATAATCTAAATACCATTGATCACATAAAGCAATAACACATTCATCGCCAGACCTATAAATCAGTTAAAAAATATAATTCTGAAATGACATAAATCAAAATGTTTTAACATACCTAGACAATATGGTTTTTTCAGGTTCATAATAAATAACAGCTTCTTTTGAATCTGTAAGTTTTTGTTGTAAAACTTTTTTAACATCTTGCACTTTTTGTCCTTTGAATTCTCCAACTATAAGTATCTGAAATTTAAAATTTATTTAGAAAATTAACATTCAAAGAATTTAAATTCAATGAAGGCTAACCCCTTCATAAAATGCTTTTAAGTAAACTTTCTCTTTAGCTATTTGTAATTTTTCTTTATCATTTTGACTTTGAATTTTTAATTCATCATAAACTGTAACAGCACATAAGTTTCCGAATTCTGGGATTTCAATAATAGGTATCTGAAATAAATAACTCATAAAAATAATGTTTTTATGTTAAATATTAATATAATACATATTAYACAGATATTATGTAATAAAATACATTTAAGTTAATTAAAAAAATAATTATTGATCATATTTGAAATCTGACAAAAATTACTCACAGGCTCAAATGGAAGAACCATTTCATCAGTAATATAATATTTTTCACGGAATGCTGGTTTCTTTTTTAGATCAGTTAAAGCTGCATAATCATCAGGCGAATCAGAAGGAACACTTGTAACAACTCCAGTACCTTTATCAGGCTTAATTGATAACATTGGTAGGGTATATATGATATCATTGAAACTAAGTGGTGCATTCAACTTTGCACCTAAAATATCCTAAAATATGGGTAAATAACACTATTATTGAACAATAAATGGTTAATTGTTTGAAATTACTTGTCCTTTTAGTTTGGTAATAATTTCATATTCTCCATTTTTTGCTGTGAACCCTTGATATGACATGTTCTTAGCAGCTCTTTCACTACAAACGAAAATGCTTTCATCATTTAATTTAAAAGYAATATATTCCAAGTCAGGGTGTACCCAGCAATTAGTCTGACCATACATTGTCTCTGGCCGTAAAGTAGCAGCCACTAAAAATACTGGTTTATTTTTCAAAGACCTGAACAGATAATTTATAAATTAGACATAAATAAAAATTATTATATCATATAATATAAACAATTTAGTAATACTTTTTGGTGAATTTAAGTTTTTCAGGATAGGGTTGAACTAATTTCATTTTAATTAAAGTATATTCTTGAGGACCAACGCCTTCACCTTTGGATCTGTCATGGTCCATACACGGCTGATTGTCTTTCGGTGAAAATACAGTATACCGTTTTCCAAACTTAATTTTRTTATTATCACGAAGACGTAAAAATTGCCAACGAACAAAACTATCAAAAAATGGATTTTCATTTGTTGTTATGAATGTCCTGCGCCAATCGACCTAAGTATTAGAATCAACACTAAATGAAGTATATGCATTGTACAAACATTTGATTTAAAATGCTTACATGAATACCAATACTTTTAAGATCGTTAACAGCTAAAGGTGGAAAATAATTTAACCACGTCAAAGGATCTTCAAAACTTCGTATTTGTTCATTATCTTCAAAACCCAAACTTTTCATAATTTGCCATTGATATTTAGCTCTACTGCCTTTTGCAATGGCTTTACTCTACACAAAAATGCCTATCAGTAAGATGCATGAATTTATTCATATTTAATTGTTTTTATAAGTAACCTTTTTGCCTTTACTCTTGTCCTTAATAATATCTGTATTTATTTCGACTTCAATTTCTTCTTCATCATCATCTGGGAAGCGTGGTGGACAGCCAAATGTCTGAATCTCCCATTTCAATTTATCTGCACACGCTTTAATAGGCATACCAGTACAATGAAATCCAAACGGAAACAAGACTTGTTTGCCTTTCAAACGTTGAAATCGAACTGCAAACTAAAAATCAGTACATTTGACATTGGTTTTTCTCATTTTGAGGAGATATTTTGAGAACAAACATACCTCGCATTTAGAAAGGGAAAATGTATGCCCTAAATGTAGCCTGCCATTCATGTACGGAAATGGAAACGTCGCCAAATATTTCTCATCACCTTTCCTCTTTGTATTCTTGGATGGCGGTGCATCAATTTCGTGAATCTTCTGTTCGTGCCATTGACGTTGGATCTCCTTTTCGATCTGTCGCAGATACTCTACCTTGACGGTGCCTTTGCGTGTTTCGGTCTAGAAAATCACAAGACTTTCAGTTACAAACACCAAGAATAAGCCAATAATAGTATTGTTAAATCGATACATACCATGACTGAATATACAAATGTCGATGATTCTATGTCATAAACTAAAATACCTAGTCAGCTTTATATA